CGCCTCCGCCTTTCGGCTACTCTCCCTCAAAGCTGTTATTACGCTCGGCCGTACTCAGGCCCTTGATAGCTTCGCAGTCAATTAGCGTTAAGGGGCTAACTCGGTTAGAATCTTGATAGCTTCGGCTATATCTCTTAGTTTAGATTAGATTTAGTTTACTTTTTAGCCTCTTAAGTTCAAGCCCAAGTGTCGGCTTTGATTGTACACTCCAAGACGGAGTTCTGTTAAATCTTATTGAATAATAAAGGGTTATTTACCCTTCCGTGTTGTTTCTTGTCACACGAACTCGGTGTGGAGCTAGGTCAGTGCCGTGCTGTCAGGACGTGTATTTGTCGCTCCGCCGTTTTGCCTAATATCAGCGGAAGTTCTCAACGTACCGCTGTAAAAGTAGTTGCTACGTGTAGCTAACATCATCAGGAGTACACTTATATAAAAATTGTGTAATTACGACATTTAGTCGTTTTTTTTATGGAACTTCAAAGTTTTTAACACTATCATTCACGACTTGGAGCCATTTTCGCCGTGTTCCTCAACTTCGCAGCCCGTGGATACACCGACGGACGTCGTAGCAGCCGGATTTTTACATAGCCGGATAGAGGATCATCTCAGCAGTATTTTGATATAAGTTTTATCAAGATTGGATAATTGGTTGAATAATTATGCAGAAATTACTCATTTAATTTAGCGCGTTTTTTTTTTTTTTTTTTTTTTTTTTTTTTTTTTTGTTTTTTTTCGCTCACGCTGCATTTTCGACCATTAGGTAGGCCACCGTCCCCCCCTCGGGGTAGCGCGTTTTCGTCAAGGACATTCGCAACGGCTTTCCTTTTATGAAGTGGACACTTTATTAGCTGCCTGCTAATTAATTTCCTAATTGCTGTATCATGCTGGAATAAACGGCAATCTTCTTCATCATCTATCTTCAGAAGCAGAAGTTTCAAATTTTGGTCGTGATCGGCCCACTGGTTCCAAAGATATAATTTTTTCGACATTTATTAACTTAGAATTTTCAAGCTGCAAAATTGCGTAGTTTGACTTCCTATTACAGTGCAGTGTTGTGTTTCAGTGTCTATGTGCCTTTGGATTACTATGGAATACCTTTATACAGATGAAGGACAGATGAAATACTGCTGCCAAGGTAAGAAAATTTGACTTTTTCCTGTATTCCAGATAGAAATATAAAAATTCAGCACCAAACGCAGTACTGTACAGAAAAACTTAGATCCTTTCCCATACGATGAGTGACACAGATTCCTCCACTTACTCGAGAGAATTTGCTTTGAAAACATTCATTACCTCGGACATAAGCTATACTGAGAAGATTGATAAACTCACTGACGAAATTATAAAGATCGCAACTTCCTTTCGAGGTGGCAAAAATATTCTACCCCTAGGCTTGCGAAAGCAACTGATAGACACGGTTGAAGCCTTCCGAATTCTGGCTTTGGCTTTGGGAGTATCTGAGTATATCCCACCTCCGGATACCGATACCGTCGATAAAACAGTCAACACATCCAGTATTTTCGCGTGTGAACTAGCAAGTCAACAGCAACACATCACAGCTGCACCTAATCTAGCGCAAAAGGCAACAGACAATCGAAAGTCCTACGCAAGTGTAACGGCGCAAAAGCCTAAACACACCTTGCTGATCTACCCTAAAGACCCGTCCACAACATCCAGGAAAGTGTTAAAAGAAAAATTGACTGCTGAATTTCCGTTACCCACATTGGGAGTTCAAGTAGCAGCTTTAAGATACATCCCACAGGAAGGACTTGCAGTGGATTGCCATACAAAGGAGGACATTCACGCACTCTCGGAAAAACTGCAGACTGAAAAGGCTAAAGAATTCTTGCAAACCAAGATCCCAAGCACAAGGCTTCCCAGGGTTGCTATACACAATATCCCATTAATCGTTACACAGGAGTAACTTGGACGAGTCATCAGTTTAGAACTCCATATTAACAAGAATAATGCCAAAATCCTGTACAGGCTCAAAGAAAGGAGTAACACAGTCAAGTGGATTGTCGAATGTAATCCCGATGCCTTCCAACAACTCATGCACTCCAGAAAACTACTCATCGGCTGGCGGGCACATCGAATCTCAGAGTACTTCAACACTAAGAGGTGCTACCGCTGTCAAGCATTTGGCCATACCCAGCAGGGATGCCAAAATAAAATCTATTGTGCATACTGCTCGGGAAATCATGCAATCAAAGACTGTCAAGCCAGATGAGCCACATGCATCAACTGTACTGTGCAGACAGTAACTACCGCAACCGGGACAAAAAAGTTTGCGACCATCCAGCATATGATGTTGCCTGTCCAACATACACGAGATACGTCGAACGGATCAAACGCAGCACTATCTATGAATAGTCTATCTGCTACTAATGCTAACAACAACACGCCTGTAATCCAATCTAATAATAACAATAATCATATGCAGATTCTCTCTCCACATACTATACCTCCATCAAGCAGGAACATAGGTACACTAAGCACAAGTATCATCAAATGCCTGCAAATCAATCTTCAAAGGGCTGAGGCAGCAACATCTCATGTCCTCACGCAAGTTATTTCCAACGACATAGACCTCGTAATCATGCAGGAACCATACTGTAGAGAAGGTCACGTCGCTAGCTTACCTATTGCATGGAAAATATACCAAAAGGAGTCCCCGACGGCAGATCTTGCTCCTAGAGTAGCAATTGCCTGCCTGCTGCAACCCCGCATGGACACACCACAAGTCATCAAGCTGCTGCATAGGGATTATGTCGCCATTCTAATCATTTTTGAAAATATGCAATTTATCCTTACTTCGGTGTATTCACCACCAACAGATGCAATTGGCAGCACTGTCGCCCACATAAGCGAAACAAGTAGAAAATTTCCAAACACAGCTCAAGTCATAGGAGGCGACTTTAATGCCCATCATATTATATGGGGGTATAGTACCACAAATCCAAAAGGGCAGGAGCTTGAAGATTATTATATTGCGGCAAACAATTTACAATTGCACAATACAACGAATGCACCACCTACATTCGATAATTCGTACAATCAAGGATGGCCAGACTTAACGATCTCAACTTATGATATTGCTAACAACATACATTCATGGCATGTCTCAGACTCTGAAAGTTGTTCAGATCATAAATACGTAGAATTTACTATACAAACAGATACCACCATTTCTATAATTAAACGCTATAGGCTGCCAGGTAACAAGGTTAGACAATTGACCCAGGCCTTTACTCGTCTCCTGCAAGCAAAAGAATTGCAGCTAGAATCTTGCAACAACTCAGAACACCTTGATTCCCTTGCACAAGGACTTCTAGAGGAACTTAATGAAATATGTCAACAAATTTTACCCCTCCGTACAACCAAGAAATTACAAGGAATCTCTTGGTGGACCGGCGAACTAAGGCAACAAAGACAAAAATGCAGAGCTTTGCGCCGCAGACTAAGAGGCTAAGAGGCAACGTGGACGGAGAGAGACCAAAGCACAGATTCTGACTACATACCGGCAAGAGCGGGCGCGGGCTAAATATAAGAAGAATATTCTCGCTGCAAAAGTGACAAGCTGGCGTACCTTCTGTAACAACAATACGAATCCCTACGGGATCTTACATAAGATTGCAACACAGAAGGTATTCAAACCAGCACAAATTCATGCACAGGTTCCAACAGCTAGTCTTTCTTTCAACAAACCCAGCGGGGTTTACAGCTGCCACCCTTCTTGACGAAATTTTTGCAAAGGACAATCCGCATGAAGATACACTGGAACAACGTGCAGTGCGAAACAATACAACTATCCCAGATACGCCAGATGATTATGCTTTCTCAGCAAAAGAAATCGCTCATGTATGTATTTCGCTACCTACCCCTACCCCTGAAAAAAGCCCCAGGACCGGATGGCCTGGACTATTCAATAATTAAAGTTGCATATAAAGCCAATCCAGATTTCTTCACTAAATTTTTCAATAAATTACTTCAGGCAAAGCTCTTCCCAACCGTATTTAAGAAGGGACAGGTAGTCTTGTTCTTGAAAAAATTCAAAAATCCAGCTGAACCGCGGTCTTACAGGCCAATCTGCTTGTTGTCTGCACTGGGCAAAGTGTATGAAAAGCTGATTGTCAATCGACTTCGTCATCATCTGCACAAGACCAAATATCTAAGTGTCGGACAATTCGGTTTCCGCATAGGATCTTCCACCGTTCTTCCACCGTTCAAGCCCTTTCAACAATCAAGGATTGCATCCAGAAGAATAGAAATGATAATATGCATACGGCTTTCATTTCGATTGACCTGGCCAGCGCATTTGATACTCTGTGGTGGCCAGCAATCAAACAAGCTTTACGCAATGCAAAATGCCCGACCAACCTTTATCTAACAATCACAAGCTACTTACAAGATCGTATGTTAATAATGTCCCACGATGCAGGTGTTTCATCCAAAGCCCAAGTGAGAGGTTGCCCGCAAGGCTCTTGCGCGGGGCCCCTCCTATGGAACATCACATTTAACGAAGTGCTCGCTGCAGACTGGCCCGCACACACGCGAGTTGTCGCCTACGCAGATGATGCTGCACTCCTGGTGCGAGGACGCACACGCAACGAACTGGAGAAAAACGGCACAGAAGTCTGCACACTTTTTTGACTGCTGACTACTGCACTCGACTTAAGCTTCAAATATCAACAGAAAAGTCAACAGCGTTGATCATTCCAAGGCCAGGAACAAATCCAACACGACGGCCCTGTATTAAATTAAACGGGAGAAATATTAAGTTCGTTAAAAATCTTAAATATCTAGGAGTAACATGGGACTCCGGTCTAACCTTTATTCCTCATATACAAGACCTTCGTGTTAAAACATCTCGAATAGCGAGAACAGCGCGCCAATTTCAGGGCAAGAATTGGGGTCAGAGCCCCCATTTTCAGAAACTGTTATATCTCACAGTTGCAGAGAAAATCGCATTATATGCAGCCCCAATCTGGGCAAACCCAATGGGAGCCAGGAAAATCCGTCAACTATCAGCCTTGCAAAGACCTTTTGCGATAAACCTATGCAAAGCATATCGAACTACAGCCACAAATGCAGCACAGGTACTAGCTGGTATCATACCACTGCATATCAAAGCCTTAATGGAATCTGCATATGCCCAACTGATCCACTTGCGCCGAGATGCGACATTTGGAAACACTACCTATAGCCCAGTCCAATATGAGCATCGGGGCGACGTATTGCGTACACATCCCTCAATAAAAGGGACAGGCATACGCACAGTTAAATCCAACTGCCTTCATCGAGACACCCTCACGAAGATATACACGGATGGCTCGAAGCATGAACATGGAGTAGGTAGTGCCTTTATACACTATGATGGTTCCAACACCGAATACACATGGAAAGGACATCTGAAACCGGAAAACAGCGTCTTTCAGGCGGAAGTTACTGCTCTCACAGCAGCGGTACAGCATATACTCAACAACAACAATATACAGGCAGCTACCATATACACGGACAGCCTTTCAGCAATAAATGCAATAGAAAATCAACACCATGTATCGCCGAGCATCATTAACTTGCAAGACATCCTGCAGCATAATCGTCACACTAAAATTACCATGGTCTGGGTCAAAGCCCACGATGGCAACCAGGGAAATGAAGCAGCTGACCGTTTGGCTAAGGATGCTGCAAGCAATCTCGAAGCACAAGAAATAAATATTCCTGCCCCACCATCCTATCTAAAGCGTCATTTGCAGGGACAAGCAATACGACAATGGCAAGAAGAATGGACTAATGCGGAAACAGGGAGGCGCACCTATGAGCGTATTTCAAAGGTATCAACTGACCGCCTTATCGCCATTGCTCCTTTGGTAAACTACATAACAGGTCACGGGCCGTTCCCGTCTTATTTTCATCGACATGGGATATCAAATACAGACATCTGTGTCTGTGGAGAAGACGGAACGCCAGACCACTACCTATTCAGGTGCCCTCTGACAGATACCATGCATCTTTTCATGCCCACGAGCAACATAACTGCCTACCACCGACTGATAATTAAGCACAAGGGAAGCATTAATGCAATATGTAAAATTATAAAATTTATCGCGGCACTAGGTCAGGATATCTGCCAGCCCATTTAATCAACATAAGGTTTTCCACTGCATTTATCCAGGAAACTACAATTTTGCACACGCATACCTTATATCTTATACCTAAACAGAACTTAAACTGGTTTGAGAACTCTTGCACAATAGCAAATATTTAATGAACTTTAACGCTGTCATGTGTCCTTATTAGTTCTATACAAGCACAGTATTATGTGCTTTTGTCAGTATTATAACGACTCTGTAGCATGCCTTCCTATAAGCATCATATCAGCTCTCTGTATCATATGTTTCTATTAGCACTTATTACTCATATACTATCATATGTATCTTTGTCTACCTTAATATTTATTTGCACAATGTGTTTTATTCGTATTATATCTGCTTTGCTATTAGTATCATATCAGCTCTGCACCATGTATATTTATTGGCATCATATTTACTTTGTACCAAGTGTATTTACTCGTTCTTCACCTGTACTGCATCTACTCAGCACCATGTCATTTAATTAGCTCTATATTTGTTCTGCATCATGTATATACATTAATATCATATTTGCACTGCATTATGTGTTTCAATCGTATGACAGCCTAAGTTCGTGCACTATGAGTTGTCTAATCATAAGTTTTTTTTTTTTTTTTTTTTTTTTTTTTTTTTTTTTTTACACATATACTATCATATGCATTATATGAAACACCAACTGTTTACCCCAAATATTTATCTGCATTAAATATTTTCATTTGTATTACATCTACTTTACATCATGCGTTCCTATTAGTACAACATATGCTCTGTACCATATGAGCCTATAAGCTATTTATCTGTTCTGCATCATGTATATTCATTAGTATCATATCTGTCCTGCATCAAATGATTTTAATCGTACTATACCTGCTCAGCGGCATGTGGCCCTTTCTTTTTTTTTTTTTTCTCATATCTGATTTGCATCATACGTGTTCATTAGAACTTAAACTGCACTGCATAATGTATTTTCATGTATTTCTATTAGTATCATATCTGCCCTATGTCACGTTTTTAATTAGCTCTAGATTTGCTCTGCATCATGTGTATATACCAGCATCATACCTGCTCTGCATAAAGTACCCTAATATTTATTTGTATCATATGCTCCTATTTGTATTATATCTGCTTTGCATCATGAGTTTCTATTAGTATAACATATGCCCTGTACCATGTGTATCATATTCATGCTTGCATCATGTGTTTCTCATTAGTATTATCTCTGTCCTGCATCATGTGCTTTTAAATAGCATCATCTCTGCCCAAAGTCATGTGTTTTTATCAGTATTATAGTTGTCCTGAATCATGTCTTTTATTTAGCTCTATATTTGCTCTGCATAATGTGTATATACTATTAACATATTTGCTCTGCATCATGTACTCCTATCATGTGTTAGCCTAGGTTCATGCACTATGAATTGTCTCCCCATAAGTATTATTACTCATATACCACCATCTGTTTCATATGTAAACCAAAAGTTCATTGCTAATAATTATTTGCAACTTATGTTATTATCTGTCTTAAAACTGCCCTGCATCATGTGTTTTAATTAGTATACGCGCGTGCTTTATATCTGGCAATGTTACACGCGTGCTTTATATCTGGCATGCACCATGTGTTTTCACTAGTATCGCAGCTTTATCTCTGCTCTGCATCCTGTGATCTTACCAGTTTTATTACACGTTTTTATATGTCACATAGTATTACATCTGCCCAGCATTATATGTTCTAACAGCATCACATGAATGCATTATTAGTACTCTACTTAGCAGTCTGTGAGTATGTTCTGTGTATTTTAAGTGTGTTGTTATGTGTATTATGTCTTACATTTTTTTATGCCACCCTCCACCCCCTTTTTTTTTTTTTTTTTTTTTTTTTTTAGATTTCCTGTAACAACCACTGTAATCCTAAAACTTTCAAATGTCATACACATCACTTGTAATGTAGACTATGTCAACCGCCCTTGTATGGCCATCTAACTTTCTCATTAAGATTCAAATATACTCCCGAGGCAGCCTGATGAGGCTCCAGGGAGTTGTTGCCACTAGATAGTGGAGGACGCGGGGCATATGCCTGTTTACCTATGTTAAACATCAGGCGCCCTCGTCCTCCGTCACCTGTCACACGAACTCAAGCGATTATTCGCTTAACAGTTCTTCAGATTTTTCACGTTAAAAAATAACTTAGAATTTACAAAGTGGAGAACTCTAGAGTCAATCTACGAGACGACCTTGCCCCTCATACGCTGTTACGCATGCGCAAGGAGATCAGACTTCCCCATAATGTCGCTGTTTTGGGCGATTTTTATGCATATACTCTTGGTCTTTTGTTAAAAATATTTTTGGTGTTTACTAATGTGGTCTTTCACCAATTCAATGATGTACTTAGATTGATTATAACGTTTGTAGTTTCCTAGGTATAAGCGTTAATTGTAACATTTATAGTTTCCGTAGGTATAAGTATTTGATTGTAACTTTTGCAGTTTCCTAGGTATAAGCGTTGATTGCAAAATTGTAGTGTCCCAAGGTATAAGCATTGATTGTAAGATTTGTAGTTTTTTGGTTTAAGCATTGACTGTAACATTTTTAGTTTCCTAGGCATAAGCGTTGATTGTAACATTTGTAGTTTCCAAGAATTAAGTATTCGCGCACACCACAAATAGTATCTTAATGTTTACTTTCCCAACAGAACATTATGTAGGAAGGTAAACTTACGTTAAAAAAATCTAAGCAAATACAGCTAATCAAAGAATAAATTCTCCAATCTTTATTTAAACTGGTAATTGGCTTGGAAAAAAAATTCTCTGTATTATAAATCAGTCAAGAAAACTTTATGAATAACTGAAATAAGTTGTCAAAAATATAAAATCATGCGAATGAATTTTACTCTTCCTTATTAAAAGAATACACAATAGTCATTACTTTCAGTTCTAAAAAATAATTAAATATCCAAGTTAAATAATTAAAAGAGCGACAAATTACACGTCACTTCAAGAAAATTTTTAAAAAATCTGATGCAGACACCACATGCGTTCCTTATACAGATTATTAAATTATACACATTTTTTGCTGAAAATTCCTCAAATTTTATTTCCTCGAAATTCATTAGAAATAAATTTCTCAATTGAATCAGCTCTCACTTCGTGGTAAGACAAAAATACATAAAAACTCAAAATATCCCGATTTTATATATATATATATATATATATATATATACTTTTGTTGTAGCCGGATTCCAACCAAAAAGAGAGGTAAACAACTACATGTCATAGCAGTCCTATATACAAAATTTCAACATTCTGAAGCTATTTGTTTTTGAGTTATGCGAGATACATACATACATACGTACGTACAGACGTCACGGAAAAATCTCTTCTGAATCCATTTTAATAAATTTTATTCTGCGCTTCGGGAAAAAAAGAGCCCTTTATTATCTCCTTACGTACAAATATCACGCAAAAAGCTCGTTAAATTGCATTCGCTAGCAGTCAAAATGGATACTTTCTTTGAAATATGATACTCAGAATTTTCCGTGATTACAATACTTCCTTTACGTCGTACAAGGAAGTATAACGGTGTTTCCGGTTCCTAAATTTAAATGTTCCTTCAAAGCTATAATCAAACAATTTTTCATATAGGTTGAGGGCCTTAAATAAAGCATATTAAGTAAGAAGTTGGAGTCAATCGATAGAGTAAAATATTATAGGTTTTTTGATTTATGATATTAATTTTAGTCATCATTCCATTCATATAAATCTCTTTGATTGAAGGATTCGACCAAAGAAGTATTAAAACAGACCAGGAGAAATAAAGGTTCATACTGACAGTGTGATTTGTTGGAGCTTGCTCAGTTTCCAATTTAATAACTATAGAATGACATATTTTAAGACATTCTGCCACTGATTGTGCTCTTGTCAGAAGCAGCGCAGTGAAATCACTTCTTGAAACGAGCATCAAGATTGGAAATGTGAGAGTTAAGAGATCAAACCAGAATAGTTTTTAAAATTCGGAGGTGCCAAAATAAAGAATAGCTTATATTTTCTGTTAAAAATGACTGTTGTTGCTTCTAATATATCACATTTTATTTCTAAGCGGATCAGACACTAGTAACAGGATCTAAGGCAATAAATAATATATATCTTTCTGTCATAAAAAAGGAACTGGGAACAAGATTTATTCCAGCAAACCCGATATTCTGACGTCTCTGTAGGATTTACACAAAATGAAAGTATATGTTCTAAGACGATTACATAGATAGGTGGGTATCCATGTTAATTATATTTCACTAGGAGATCTGAACAAATTGAACAATATTTTAATGTGACATCTTAGTAAAATGTGTTAGAATCAAAAGATATATTTAGAAGCCAGCTAGCATAAAATTTTATTTATGAGTTTCAGTGTTAATATTTTGCATGTAATGTTTTTCATTTGTTTTCATTTTGTTATAAGGAAAAAATACCTAAACTGAAATTTTATGAATTAATTACAAAAAAAAAAATTAGTAGAAAGTTTATCTCCAACAGTTAAATTCACAAATATTTTATTGTGGTGAAAAAAAGAAAAAAAAAAAAAAAAAAAAAAAAAAAAAAAAAAAGAACTGAAAGCTTTCAGATTTTATACTACTCCCAAATGGGCCTTTTTTTTTCATGTATGCAGTGTATGAAGAAATAAACAAATGATTACAAATTCTGAACAAAAGACTGTTAGACTGTTTTATTAAAATGTTATAACATGAAAAAGGTTGCAGTAAGAAGTATAGCCACCTCTGGCAGCTATACACGGCGTAGCATCGAATTAAGTAGGCCACCTATTACCACTCTGGCGAAGATCATGCCACAGTCTTTGCAAATGGCCAGTTAATTTACCAATATTCTGAGACGGCTGCAGTTGTCTTCTAAGCATGTCGCAAGCTTGCTCTATTGGCGAGAGGTTTGGTGACCTGGCAGGCCAAGGGAGTACGTCATATCCTTGAAGACATTTTTGGGAGAGCTGCGCGGTATGTGGACGAGTGT